CGGGCATGCTTATTGTCATTGCCATGCATCTATTTGAGCGGGAAGCTTTGGGTTTATTCTGCACTTCGGCCATAGAGGAGTTACTGTAGCAGTCCGAGTCTTGGTACCTCGGACCTGTCCTTACATTTTGTTAAAAATTTATTGAAATAATATAATTTTAAAATTATTTTTCTCTAATTAAGAGGTACGGATGAAGCATTTCTCTAATCTTGATCTCAAAGATGAAACATTTCTAAAATATTCAATTATAAGCTTAAATTTTGAATCTATGTTTCTCTATTGCCATCAAATATCTTTCCTTCACAAAATGGAGCAAGCCGGCGGTGCATCATAGACACAATAAGGTGTTGTTGTATACGACCAAACCACAGGCTGCACCTTCGGTTCTTCTTTCTTTTCCTCTTTCTTTTCCCCTCCCACAGCCGCCACGCTCACTAGCTCCGCAAATCCCATTTTCTTTCTCAGCAACATCGTTAGCTGAGCTGCGTCAACCCCATCGCCCGTCACCTCAATCTGGTTCTTGTCGTTACCTTTCAAAGCCGCCGACTCCACACCTATTTATCGAATTCGTTAAGAACTGATTTAGACTAACAAGAAAAAATAAAGTTATGAAGGAATTAATTAGATTTTGTTCTTACCAGGGAGCCCTACTGCAATCTTCAGGGCCTTCGATCGGGCTTTATGCCCGTTCATCGAAACGTTAATTGCCATCTTTTGCTGCATAATTCGAAATAAAGAATTTGAGTACTTGTTTGACTCAATATTAAATCTAGCATGGATATTGATTATATATGGTACGTACCTTCATGGTGGTATTGTTTTGTTGAGACTTGAGATATAGATGGGGGACAGACAGAGCCTCCTCTGTTTTTTAGTTTTTAAGAAAGCGAGGAAAGCTGCTGCTGCTACTTCGGACTTGGGAGGAACCTCCGAATTGTGTAGGAAGTGTTGATGTGGGTGTTTCAGCTTAGGTTGTCTATGTTTATACAGAGTTGGGGTTTGGGTTGAGGACTGGAAAGTGGAAACTTGGAGTAGCTGCTGGGTAGTTCCTTGGTTGGTTCTGGGAAAAGGTTGAAGATTGATTGGTTCTCCTTCTCGGTCGGAACTCTAAAAATTAGGTTGAAGTTGAACATCATCAAGTAGACTTTACCTACTTTTGAACTACGAAATGGACCATTTCCATAAGTTGATTTGATTTTAAGACAAAACGAGTTTTGGGAGGAAATCATTTTGTTGGTATGAGACTTGTTCAAAGCTTGATATTAATCCTTTTTTTTTTTCAATCTTGTAGAAGTGTTGAGGGTAATAAAGTTTTACTCAGGAAACTCTTATTGTATGATCATAGGGTAATATAGAAATTGATAAGATATGGTAAACGAAAATTCACATGCAGAAGCCCATTTTAGCTGAGGATAGAAAAATTGCACGCAAAAAATTCTCTTGTTTTTATGCTAAGGGATTTCAGTTCAACAGTTTTTGGCTGCAAATAGGATTGAGATCATCGTGCAGTATTTTAGTTGCGACTTTTATCATTGCTAAAACCACGTTAATATCTGACATATAATTATTAAAATACAAAAATATAAATCAAAATCACTTAATTACAAACAATGATTATTATTCTTAATAATATTACGTGTGAAAAAAGTATCGTGAAAAGAAATTCTAAATACAACTAAGAGTGAGTAATTTCTATTTTTCCATTTTTTTGGCAAAAGAGGACTCTACTTGATGGGTTTTCTTTGTTTTTTTTCCCTTTTCGATGATTTTTCAGTGATTTCCAGATACTATTATTTTAGATGGCTAGGAGTTTCAACAAGGTTGTTGATGTGTCATTGTATCAGTCTGTATATTTGGGTTTGGAAGCAAAACTGGTATATTATATTTTAAATATTATTTTAGATCAAATACTGATTATACTAGTCAAATACTAATCATATTGATCGAAATTTAATATATTGGTCGGTACATATAAATAACACATAAATAAAAAGAAAAAAAAAAAAGAAAAAAAAAGGCTTAAATGCAACTTAAAATATAATCTTAATTATACCTAAATAAGACAAAAAAATTGAAAAGAGAAATAAAAAAATGTAGATTTCCTTTAAAACCTAACAATATAGAGCATAAAAGAAAGATTAATCATAACAATTCTTAAAAATTGCCATAACCTCTGAAGTTACAAATGCAGAATTTCATTGAAACATTTAATGAGGAAGTGAAAGTTTTAAAGAGAGAGAAAAGAAGTGCGTTTTAGATTACCAATGGCTATGAAGAAGAAACTAAAGGCTGTAAAGTAAAAGCATTGGAGAGATGCTAGTCTTTTTGAAGATAAATGGGAGGTGAGATTACTATATAGATTTAACTTCACTTATTATGACAAATTAATTATAATTTATTTTCTTTTTAATACTATATAAATATTATGGTGTATGTTTATATTTACAAATATAATTGAAAAAGTTTATATTTAATTTATAAAAATATATTTATAATGGTAAATCTAAAACAACATACAGTATTATCCAATATGTGGTATAAACCATACTAATAACAAAATTAATATGCATATCAGTACAATATTAAGAATTTTGGTTCTCAATTAAAAAAGAAAAATAAATAAAGAAAGAAAAAATGGCTATGAGAGGGTTCCTTCTTCAAACGGCAGGAATGGATGGACGGTTGATTGTCCGTCCCACGCGTCACATCCCTTTAAGATTTTTTGGTTTTAATGGTCTCGCTTTGAATCAGCTTTTATACTTTGAAAACTAATTTTTCTTCAATCTTGTAATTGCAAGGAACCAAACCAATGTTTTAAAAACCGGACCGGACCGGCCGGTTGAACCGGTCGGACCGGTACCCGGTACAATAAACGGTTCGGGTTAAGGTTTAGAACCGTGAAGCGGTTGAACCGTTCAAAACCGATGAAACCGTTCAGACCGGTACAAACCGTTAAACCGTTCAACCGGACGGTTTAAATCTTTTGGAAAATTTCCCATAAAGTTGTCACCTGCGGGCTTCGAACACTAGACTCATTAAGCATTTTCCATCACCTTTGCCACTGGGACACGACCCCTGCAATTGTAAAGGGTGGCTTAAAATTTTATTTATTTTATGTTTAGGAAGAAAAGAATCGCACTCCAGCTTACTTGAACTTTCTTCTCTTCTATAATTAACTTTCATATTAAAATTAATATAATGTTAATCTAATTTTTATTTTAAATATATAAATTAAAAGTGTAATAAATATAATTTTTTAAAATTAATTTATATAAAAATAAAAATTG